GATCCTGTTGCCGGTCCCGAAAAAAAAAAAAAAGGGAAAAAAAAAAAAAAAATGCTTTGTGAAAAAACATGCAAATACATTAACAAGCATTTAAAAGACTTCTTTATATTGAATATCTGAATAAAGAGTAATATAGGCAGAATAATTATTCTTAATACATATTCATGTATTTTAATAAATTTCCTAGCTGTATTTGTCTTTAATTCCTTCTGGTATTTAACTGAAAAATTTCTTCATTCAATATGGTCTTATTTTAATTTTTTTCATAAAACTGCCTGCAACTGTTGTATTTTATGGTTAATAAATTTGAAACTATTGAGATATTCAATTGACTTTTTCTATACTATTTTAAGTCTGCAATATTTATATCAAAACAATATTCTTTCTGAGGTGCAGTCGGGTAAGCTGGTAGCAAATTCTGCTAAATGGAGGATATTCTCAGTTCTATTCTTTTTTAAATTGAAATGTGTAAATATTTTAATCCAATCAGTTTCACAGGAATGACAATACCTTCAAATATTTTTACAATATCTTCAAATATTTTTACAAACAAATCTCACTGAATTGTCTCTACTGATGATTCTTTTGAATGTTTCACCAAATTTGGACCATTTTTTAAGCTTATTAATTACTGAAAGGGTTTATTGCAAAATATAAAAGCATTTTCAAGTAATAAATAAGTAGTTATAGATTTATGTAATACAATAAATAACAAAACCATTCAGACCTTTTTTTTTATATATCCTGTGGCAGGAATATATTTCCTGCATATATTTCACATATGCTTCCCACTGGTCCCTCCAACTGGTGTCCTGGTGACACCAAGTGGCCGGCAGGGACAGCAGCATCAAATACTTCCACCACTACCAACAGGTGATTGAAAAGTTAGTACCTAGTCCTTTATATTTAAACGAAGTTTGTTTTTTTACTAAGCACCTTTACTGTTGTCCTTGACTTGCTTCTGGTAAGAGCCAGAAAAAGAGACTGGTTAGCAGTTTATTCTGGCTGTTTTTAAGATTTAACCATAGGTTAAAGTGAAAACTCAAAAGATAGATGAAACTACTTACTAGAGGAGACCAAGGCAGAAACTGGAAATACAAAATGGTGGTTGCCCAAACCCATCACAGTTTATTTTAATATAATTACTAATAATACTCTGTTAAAAAATGATAAATCGGAGACAAATGTTAAACCAGTTAGATACCAAGATGAGAGACATAAACTGGGACTGTACTAGACAAACAGGGACATAAGGTTACCCTATTAGTAGGGGATGTTTATTTTTTAAGGCTATAAAACACCTGGAAACTTTTATTCACATGAGGCAGGAAATTAGCACAGCCTCCAGTCTAGGAATTTAAGTTAGTGATCATAATTTGGGAACAGAATGAGGCAGGAAGTTACAGAAGAAAAAGATAAGATCAAGGTCATTATTCATGCTTAGATGTTTAGAGAACTTTCTTTTTCTTGGACATTTATTATTCTTTTAAAAGTTTGGATGAAATAGAATACTTAAATTAGGGGCCTAAGTATGATTCAGAACTATGGATAAATTCATTTATCTGTATACAGATAACTGAAAATTTCTATAATTAGATTGGCTACACATTTAGATGTATCTTAGTGATAAACACATAGAATAAGTTTGAAGAATGACTATCATATTATGGTCAGAATCTACCTTTAGCACTAAATTTAAAACTGCATACAAATAGGAAACCTGAAGTAGCAGATGTGTTTACCAAGCACCTGTTTCTAAACAAGAAATTATTTTTAGTGCTCTTGTTTAAGAGGCTGTGATATTAATGTGCATGGAGGCAGCAGGTTGTTGTGAACCCTACTATTTTTAGTAACAGTCTAATGTGAACAATGATGAATCACTCTTTGTTATTCTAGTAGGAAATAGTACTTGGGATTTACTGCAGCACATTAGGTTAACTATGTCTCAATAACTGAACACCCACACGTTGACATCACACAGGCAGTGATATGGATCAATGACGCAAATCCTGTGAGGATCAAACATAAGGCCACAGAGGTTGGAAAAAAGATGCCCAAGTGACAAGGCAGACCAGTCATCCACCATGCAGACTGCATTAAATCAGTACTGTTAATGTTGAAAAGGGTTGTGCTAGGCTCTTTTCTTACATAAAAGCTATGCTTTTTTATTTTAATTATAGATTTCCCATATAACAGACTCTATATTTAAGTTTCCTCACAGCTTCTGTGGTTTAAGGTCTGGACCTTTAAAAACACGTCTTAAGGTTTTACTAGCCACAAGAATTACCTGAAAAACTGCCTCTGTAGCCAGTCTGTTTAGACAATCTTCTACAGAATATGCCACCATTTGTGAGGCATTCTATATAACATGTGCTTGACAAATAACATTTAGATCCAGATCTGGAGCACTACATTGTGGCCTGATAATTATCTGCAATTTCAGGGTCTTCTTCCCACTATTCTTTTCTTCTTTGGGCCTTCAATATTTTTATTAGTATTTTTGGACATCAAAATATTAATTTTTTATGGTTATAACTGGATTGGAGAACATGGCTTATTATGAATAATCATATATAAAGTTTTATAATATCTTCTCTCTGAATTAAACATACCCACACAGAAATGGAAATCTCCTTTCCTGTGGGAACAGAACCTACCTTTGGAGGCTTGCCACAGAATGTTCACATCCTGCTGTAGGTTCTCCTGAAAAGAAACTAGTCCTGTACGCTTAAAGCATTACCCCTTCTAGTTTATGTTCTCCTCAAAGACTTTCACTTCCCAGGAGAACTGGAAAGCTGAAGGGAGATCATAGCTGGACGTGTCTGATAACCTTCTGTTCTATCATCATTAATCTGACATAGATTAGCGTAGATTAAACATGCCAAGGACCCTTTCCCATACCCTCAGGCATTTTTTTGGTGTTATTTCCTCAACCAGCATTGTTTCTTATAAAAAAGACTGTATTAAAAAAAATTGTAAAAAATTGTAAAAAACTTCATCTCGAAATTTTCTTTTGTTTTTAACTGGTAATCACCTGAAATAAATATTTGGAAAACATAAATATTACTGAGACAGTTGTCCTCACAGTTATTTTTGAGGGATAATCTTTAATTCTAGATTTTTCCATGACAGAATCCAAATGCTAATTCACAGAAAAGTTGAAAACATTTCTATGCTTTTTTTGCTGTACCTCAACTTTCATCAGGAGAAGACTGGATTATAAGGCCTTATTTTTCTCTATCATGATTTTATGTATTTTGGTTATCTGTCATTGGCCACTATTTTACCTCACTCATTCCAACCTTCTCAGGGCAAGTCCCTACCAGTTAACATAAGGTTAAAATGGAAAAAAGCAGATTAAAAACTTACTGTGTCGATGGCATGCTAAAGACTGAGAAGAGGTATGACAAAAACCTGCAAAGGCAAAGAGAAATAGAGACCTCGTCTCCCTCTCATTCTCTTCAGATTCAAACATTACAAGACTGGGAAACACAGCATCATTTACATAGATCTTTCATAAAGAGATTAAGCAGAGAAAGGTAAGAGGATGGACTTTTTCCAGATTTCTTTGCTTTTGACTATGAAACATTTCAGAGACATTTCAAACAAAGGTTTGAGATCTTCCTTTAGAACCTTGTCCCCAGCTACAGTTTCCCTCCCAAAGGTAACCATTCTTAGTCTCTTATAAATCCTTTCAGAGATATTCTATGCATATAAAAGCAATTAATTCTTTAAAAAATACAAACAATAGTATACTATACACACTGTTCTGTACCTTAATGTATCTTAGAGATCTTTCCATATTAGTACATGTAGAGATGCTTTAATCTCTTAATAACTGCACAATATCATTCCCTTGTAAGAATGTACCATAATTTAGCTATAACCCTATTGATAGATATGCAAGTTATTTTCAGCCTTTTACTGTTAAAAACAATGTTACAATGAATATCATTGTACAAACATAATTTCACGGATTTGTTAAGTGTATCTGTAGGATAAATTATTGGCTGTATCAAAAAGAGAATTTATAGTTTTGATATTACCATATCTCCTCAGAGTTTGTACTAATATACATTCTCATCGACATACCCTCACCAGTAGTTACCAAACTTTTTGATATCTGGCAATCTGAAAGGTGAATATGGTATCTCAATGTGGTTCAGTTTGCATTTTCTTTTTTGAATATCCTTTTTTGAATATGTTTAAAGAACCATTTATTTTCCCTTTTCTGTGACCTGGCTGTTCCTAGCCCTTGCCTATTTTTCTATTGGATTTGAAAAATTTCTATTGCTCTTTATACATTTAAGAAATCAGCTCTTTGTGATAAGCTGCAAATATGAGGGTACTTCAAAAAGTTCATAGAAAAACAGAATTAAAAGACAACACAAACCTGTCCAGGAACTTTTTGAAATACCCTCGTATTTCTCCTTTCTTTGTCTTTTACCTTTCTTTACAAGTTGTTCTCCTTGCCACAGAGTGAAGTGGTATGTATTTATATATTTATCATATATTTATAAACATATATGATATGTTTATATATTTATTTATTCTTGGATACTAAGAGGGTGGGTTAGGAGGTAAGCATCAAAATATTAGAAATTGGAATCTGAAACTTAAGAGAGTTTGCTCTACGACAGAGTTTCTAATAATGTGTTCTATAAAAGCTGGTTTCATCAGGTGTTTCTAGAAAAGGATTCTATGTTAAAAAGTTTGGAACATGCTGCAAATGACAACCACCTGCAAATTCATAATGAATATTAATGCATGTTAAAGGCACGGTAAGGCCTACAGCAAATAAATCTCTTCTATTTGCTTTCTCCTTAACACCCCAAACCTATTGTCCTTTTTTCTTCCTATAATACATATTAACATCCCATAGCAGTTGTACTGCGTTAGACTTACAGGGACTAGATAAAAGAGGCCTGCATGTTTCCCTGTATGTTATCTTATTTCCTCTTCTTTTTTACCCATCCTTTAAATGTTACCTGTCTCTCATGACTACAGCTTCAATCTTCTTTTTATGCTTATTCTACATACTTTCCTTGAAGAACACATTCATAACTCATGATTCCAAATTACATATTGATAAATTTTCTATTTCCATTCCACGCCTTACTTATTTGCAAGAGCAATAAAACCAAAAGGTATTTTGAACCTAACATGTTCAAAAATAAATTCGTTATCTCCATTTTCTCCTACCCAAACGTAATTCTTTTTTCCCCTCTATTCTTTTTTTGTTTTAATTTTTAAAGTTTTAAAAAATTTTTATTTTATTTTTATTGTAACATAGTTGATTGTACATATCTGTGGGGTACAGAGTTGAATATCATTACCTGTGTGAAATATGTGATGCTCAAATCAGGATAGTTAGTATATTCAACATTATACAATGTTATTTTTTTGTGGCCCTTTATCAATTCTTCCCTTACCCCCCTCCCCTGTATTCTTTAGCACAGTGAAAGGCACTATCATTTATCTTTCTGCCAAACTGACTGTGAAATTTGTAAATCATCCTAGTTTACTCTCACCTGAGTCCTAGGTCTCATCCTTATTACTACTGTTTTGGTTATTTCCCTGCTTAAAATCCTTCAATGGCTCCCTGTTCCTTTCAGGATAAAATCTGAAATCTTTAGCACTGCATATAATATTCGTAACAGAGCCTATATTTCCATTTTTGGACTCATTATCAGATACTCTCCATGCACTCTGTTTTCCAGTCTACCTCTCTAGTCATACCTTTTCAGCCTCTGCTAATTTCCGAGTGCTCTGCCTCTTGCACATGCTATTCCTTCGGCTTCTAAGATATTTTTTTCCTCCTGGTTAACTACTACTTCTTCAAGCAGAATCTTTTCCTGAAGTACTCAATGACTTCCCCATGATGGCTCAGGTTTTCCTACTCTGGCTTCCCACATTTATCTGGGTATACCTAACTCCATCATAGCACTTATCATTGCTCCCTCTGTTTTAACTGTAGGTTACTTGCCTGTCTCCTTTACTAGGGTGTGAGGCAGGGCCTAAGACTTTCACATAACTGTCAAGAATTAGTTGTCCTCAGGACAGGAAAAGTGATTTAGGGCAAATCCTCTCTCCACGGGGAAAAAGCATAACATTTCATTTAGTGATTGTGTTCCTGCAAGCGCCTGAGTAAGGGAGACTGGGTACAAAGAGGTGAGGAATTCCAACATATTACAACTAAAAATAATGTTAAAATATTGAAATATGATGGTATTTCACTGTAATGATAAAGAGATTTTCCAAAAACACTGAAGGCTTATATGATAAAATGAAACAGAAGAGGATGTCAAAAATACAGAACTTTGTTAAACCATAAAGAATGGAAACTGCATTTGATTAAAATTTACTCTCTAAAAGTGAATCAACATCTTAAATAATGTCATTGCATAAGTTTTGGTATCAGACCAGTCTATGTTAAAATTATGACTCTGGCAGAGAGTTACTTAACTTCTGGAGCCCTAGAGAAAAGAATACATACTTGAAAGGGTCTTCTGTACTATTGTTATTTTGTGACTCTTATGGTTAAAAGACTTTCTGAGAAATGAAATTATGCCTAGTGTTTGTTGCCAGGATGGAAGAAAACGAGAACTTTGAGGTTGATGAAAATGTATAAGTTGGAGAAAAAATGATTTTTCCATTTCTATATATCTAGGTAGCTACTAAAAATCACATCCAACTTGTTGATGTACAAAGAAAGAAATGAGGAAAAATCTTTTCTGTTTCCTGGGACATTCTCTGCACATGGTACAAAGCTATGTAAATCAGCTTATGTAAATTAATGGTAATTTTATAACTTTATATAAATATTCTTTGAACATCCTAGCCTTATCCCAGCTATGCACTAGTGAAAAAATAGAAAGGTTTATTCCTGAGCTAGAATGCTTCATTAGTACTTCCCCAAGTCCAAGAACGTGATAGCAGTTACTACAAGGCTAAACTAAGGTAAATCTCCATATTTGAGATTCAGTTGCTTGCTCTTCTCACCAGGAGATCCTTCTATTGAAGCTAAATTGAGACTCTGGATTTTATTTTCAATTAGAAAGGTGATCTTTCTAGAATTCTTCCATAGGATTAAGAAAATATATATCTAAAGCACAAAACAGGTTTGTGGTATATACTACTTTCTTTCCCCAGCATCCCTTCACAGAATGTTTTGGTTAAATAGAGAGAATCCAAACAAATACATCTTCCATAAATACAGCCAGGCTTATAATAACACTTTTCTTGGGATGACAAGATCTTAAATGTCTAAAGAATCTCTGTCTTGGGTTTTTTATCTGTCCTCTGAGAGTCAGAATTCTTTTATTTATTTATTTTTTTTTGTGGCTGGCTGGTATGGGGCTCCAAAGCCGTGACCTTGGGATTCTCAGGCTGTGCGCCAACCAACTGAGCTCATCGGCCAGCCCTGTGTTGGAATTCTTTAAGCCAATTCTATACTATAATATCAAATTTAAACATTTCTTTTCTTCCACTGCCTTGATTTTCAGAAAATTGACAGATTATTGTTATGTATTTACAAACTTAGTATGTCCCATTTTTTAGTTTTTACTGGTTAAAAAATCCACTTATCTAATACCACATGTTCTCACTCATATGTGGGAGTTAAAAAAAAATTGAGCTTTTAGAAGTAGAGAATAGAATTGTGGTTACTAGAGGCTGGGAGAGGGAGAGGAAGGGGGACTAGGGAGAGGATAGTTAATGGACACAAAATTATAGCTAGACAGGAAAAGTAAATTCTAGTTCTGTACAGTAGTGCTAGGCATCTATAATAGCAATAATCTATTGTATGTTCTCAAATGGCTAAAAGAAAGGAGCTCAAGTGTTCTAATCACAGAAATGATAAATTTTTTTGATGATGAATGTGATTTGATCATCACACATTGTATATATTATTGAAATATAACTCTGTCCCACATAAATATGTACAATCAATACACATCAATTAATAAACAAATTTTAAACCATTAAAAAAATAAAAATCCATTTATTTCCACCAAAAATACTGTATGGTCCACCATTTTCTTGAATAAGTTCAGGGTCTCAACTTTAAAGAAAAAAACCTAAATTTTTTATAAAATAATGTTGGGCTAAACAATTTAAAAAGAGTTAAAACATTATTTATATGATTATTTATGCAATTCACATTTGTCAAAATTGTATAATTTAATAAAGAAAAAAAACCTCCTGTAATACTATGTACCAAAATTTATTTTTTATGCATCTATGATCATTAAAAGTAATGTTTTTTTATTACAAAAAGTTAATTCTGTTGATATCCTTAACAATGTATAATCAAATAAGTGGTTCTGGTTAAATCAAACTCCTAGTTAGCAAAAGTTTTTAATGTTCCAATTTTGAGAGGAAAAATGTATAAGACAGGACTCATCCTGTGAGTG